AATCATCACATTTTAAAGCCATTCATTGGTCACATTACTACACTTAGTCACGGGAGGGGTGCGAATAACAATTCCCTGATTTTATTGTACAATATCATTATGGTGTTACACACGGATAAAAATCCCATAATTATCAAATTAATCTGCAATTGTAATAAATAAAACATTAATTTCGATAGATTTATTTCTACATTCCCACGAGGTACTTGCAGATCGTATAAACCTTTCGCCTTTTACTAAAGGTTTCCGTGTGAGTGCCTCATTAAAGTGGGGTAAAAAAATTTTTGGAATAACCTCAAAAGGGGTATTCCTCCCATTTTAACAATAAGCGGGTTGGGTCGGATCAAAAATTATGATGGCAAAATATACTATTGTACGTCATACTCTTAACAAATGGGTCACCTGATTTTTGGTTTTAATCATGATTTAAACTAATCTGATGAAAATTACAGAATAGGCAGCGAATAGGTGCTAGTACTATTACTGTATACACACGAAATATTAATATTGATATAGAAACTTTCCCGTACCTAAATATAAATAGGGAAATGGTACGGAGTAGGTGTTTTCCGTATTAAAATATATTTTTCCTTATCATGTACGGCAGGGACCTGGATGATAGAAAAATACCATAACATGAAAAGGCTTAGAAACCATACCAATTTTACATAGTAGTATTGTTCTTTAAAGTTACTACTATTATTATTGCTATATAAAAAGGTTGTTTTTGGCTACGATTTAACGTTAGTTTATTATAAATAAAATGAAAGAGGATAAAAATCCTATTTATTTCATAGCTAATCAACAAACCCTTTTGAGCAGTTTCGGAAAGACCCTACATTAAGCCTAAACCTAAGCCTTTACTGGATTTAGGACACAGCGTCACTAATGGCAAACAATATATTAGTTGTGATGAAGACCTGAAAATGCAAAAATAGTTTCTTAGGCTACTAATATTATTAGTGGATCTATTAACACTAATATAAGAACGATTCATATTTTTTATGTAATCTAAGTGACATCTCTTTCCTTGTTTTATTTCTCTGGTCAAGGTCATAAAATCTTTTGCATACTTATTTATCTAGTCGAAAACTTCTTTAAAGTAAAATTTGCCAAGTTTTTGTGTT